AGGGAGACTATGTGGTGAATCATTTACCATACCATTGATGGATGTCTCGTTTGTTGAAAAATATTTGAAGGGGCTCGACTGTAAATCTGCTACAGACTTAGATAAAATCAGTGCTTTATTCTTAAAATATTGCGCTGATAGTGTAGCACTGCCTTTGCGCAAAATTATGAATTATTGCATTGAGACTTGTACTTTTCCTAAGAGTTGTAAAAATGCTAGAGTATGTCCTTTATTTTAAAAAGGTGATAAGGAACTAGTTTCAAATTATAGACCGATTTTGGTGCTTCCAGTTTTATCAAAATGTCTTGGGAAACATGTACATAAGAGTCTTTACTATTTCTTCACAGAACATAATTTGCTACTAGAAAATCAATCTGGTTTCAGACCTTGTCATTCGTGTCAAACAGCTTTAACTAATATCACAAATTCATGATTTGATGCTGCTGGTATTTTATTCCTTGACTTCCGTAAGGCGTTTGACCTAGTTAACCATGGAATTTTATTACAAAAATTACAGTTATATGGATGTTCTGATAGTGCTTTGAATTTCCTTAAACCCTACCTTCTTGAACGTTTTCACACTGTCAGTAACAAGAATACACTTAGTGATCGTCAACAGCTTACTGTTGGTGTGCCTCAGGGCTCAATACTTGGGCCTCTCTTATTCATTATTCATGTAAATGACTTACCTCTATTAAATAAATATTGTAAATCACATATGTATGCTGATGATACCACAGTTGGGTATAGTGATAAATCCATTGATGTAATTAACGAAAAAATTACTGCTGATGCATCACTCATTTCAGAATGGTGCCATTTTAACAAAATGTGTATAAACACTGACAAAACAAAATCTATGTTGATTGGTACTTATCAACGTAAAAACAGGCGAAGTCCTAACCTAAGCATTGTTTATCAATGACACTGCGATTTAGAATGTAAACACTGAAAAGCTACTTGGTGTCACAGTAGATGAATGTTTGTCATGGAATTCTCATGTTGAAAATGTGTGCAAAAAACTTTCTTTCTATCTTTTCCAAATGAAACGCTTGAGGTTACACTTAAGTCAGTCTTCCTGTTTGACATATTTTAATTGCTCTGTAAATCCTCATTTTAACTACTGTATTAATATATGGGGAAATACATCTCAGAAAAACTGCACCAAGCTCGATAAACTTTTGAAAAGGCCTGGTAGAATAATCTTGGGTTGTAATTTTAATCTCGTAATATTTTTAGAATGTTAAACTGGTTACCCTTTTCCAAACGTGTTGAATATAATCAGTCTATACTGATGTACAAAGTCCCGCATGGTTTGGCTCTCCAGTATCTTAATCATTTTAAACTTAGTTCTGATGTTCAGGCAAGACAAACAAGATCCTCATCCAGTAATGTATTTTACTTAACTTCATTTAAAACTAATATATTTAAGAATTCTTTTATTAACCAGGGTCCATACACATGGAATATTTTACCTGATCACGTCAGAAATTCTACTTCATTCTTATCTTTTAAACAAAGTTCAAAGAAATTTTTTATTGAATCCACATAATTTTCCATGTATGTTTTAGTCGCATATATTACTTTCAGTTTTACGGTTTTAAATTGTTTATGTACATTTTGTAGATATTGTATATTTTTAGTAAACACTTACATACTGACACTGTTGTCAGCACATACACTGACACTGTTGTCACCACACACTGATACTGTTGTCATCACACACACTGACACTGTTGTCACCACACACACTGACACTGTTGTCACCACACGTACTGACACTGTTGTCAGCACATATACTGACACTGTTGTCACCACACACACTAACACTGTTGTCAGCACACACACTAACACTGTTGTCACCACACACTGACACTGTTGTCACCACACGTACTGATACTGCCACACACACTGACACTGTTGTCAGCACACGTACTGATACTGTTGTCACCATACATACACTGACACTGTTGTCACCACATACACTGACACTGTTGTCATCACACATACACTGACACTGTTGTCACCACACACACTGACACTGTTGTCATCACACACACACTGACACTGTTGTCACCACACATACACTGACACTGTTGTCATCACACATACACTGACACTGTTGCCAAAATATACACTGACACTGTTGTCAGCACACACACTGACACTGTTGTCACCACACACACTGACACTGTTGTCACCACAATCGCTGATCGTCGTGTCATGTTGTTCAGGATTCTCTGATATTTTCTTCTTATCCAATTTTACTGGTGGTGATGGTTAAAAGTCATCAAAAAATAAATTTCTATTGATGAAAATGGTTTGATGATACATTTACCTTAATATTGTATCTAACATTTCTTTCACACTTAATCTTACAAGCAATCACTGAACTAATCTACATGTACTTTCAACAAATATTACTGTTATAGCTATAAAGAAATATAAGAAATGAAATGACACTCACATCAATAATTCATCATTGATAACACCCCTTAATAACTAAACCAGTTTTAGACATCAGAATTTCAAGACGTCATCTTGGAGTGACTCTAACGTCAAGATAGATCATCTAGAATTACAAGAAGATCGCCAATGATAATCATCATCTGATCACAGGATGATTATCACAGGGTCATCTGATCACAGGAGGATTATCACAGGATTATCTGATCACAGGAGGATTATCACAGGATCATCTGATCACAGGAGGATTATCACAGGATCATCTGATAACAGGAGGATTATCCCAGGATCATCTGATCACAGGAGGATTATCCCAGGATCATCTGATCACAGGAGGATTATCACAGGATCATCTGATAACAGGAGGATTATCCCAGGATCATCTGATCACGGGAGGATTATCCCAGGATCATCTGATCACAGGAGGATTATCACAGGATCATCTGATCACAGGAGGGTTATCACAGGATCATCCGATCACAGGAGGATTATCACAGGATCATCCGATCACAGGATCATCCGATCACAGGAGGATTATCACATGATCATTTGATCACAGGAGGATTATCACAGGATCATTTGATCACAAGAAGATCGTCCAATTATCATGAAGAAGCACAAGAGAAACGAAACATATGATGGAGTTCAACATAATATGATTACTCATTGACTGTTAACTGCAGTTACGTAAATGTAGTTTTGGGTTACATATCGTTGTTTTGCTACCTAGAATGTGTTCCATTATGTTAAGTTGTTAGCTACAATAGTCCAGTGTGTATTCAGATGTCTTAGCTACAGTTGTAGTTGACAGAGCTCCACTGCATTGTACAATGTAATGACTACTTCGAGTTGGCATAGATACGTCGTGATTTCATAACTAGGCCAGGTTGCCATACCAATGTCATGTAAGCGTAACTAAGCCTGGTTGTTTGTGTTGACATGGTCTCGCTATGTTGGTATCACTAAGTATTTGGTATAATGTTTTTGGCTGCTCGTAATTAATGATGTATTCAACTGACGGAACGGCGCAAATTTGGTATAGCTACGTTGAGTTGATCCAGCTACGCTGATTGGGTAGGTCTATAGCTACGTTGAGTTGATCCAGCTTCGCTGATTGGGTAGGTCTATAGCTACGTTGAGTTGACCGAGCTACGCTGATTGGGTAGGTCTATAGCTACGTTGAGTTGACCTAGCTACACTGATTGGGTAGGTCTATAGCTACGTTGACTTGACCTAGCTACGCTGATTGGGTAGGTCTATAGCTACGTTGAGTTGACCTAGCTACGCTGATTGGGTAGGTCTATAGCTACGTTGAGTTGACCTAGCTACGCTGATTGGGTAGGTCTATAGCTACGTTGAGTTGACCTAGCTACGCTGATTGGGTAGGTCTATAGCTACGTTGAGTTGATCCAGCTTCGCTGATTGGGTAGGTCTATAGCTACGTTGAGTTGACCTAGCTACGCTGATTGGGTAGGTCTATAGCTACGTTGAGTTGACCTAGCTACGCTGATTGGGTAGGTCTATAGCTACGTTGAGTTGATCCAGCTTCGCTGATTGGGTAGGTCTATAGCTACGTTGAGTTGACCTAGCTACGCTGATTGGGTAGGTCTATAGCTACGTTGAGTTGATCCAGCTTCGCTGATTGGGTAGGTCTATAGCTACGTTGAGTTGACCGAGCTACGCTGATTGGGTAGGTCTATAGCTACGTTGAGTTGACTTAGCTACGCTGATTGGGTAGGTCTATAGCTACGTTGAGTTGACTTAGCTACGCTGATTGGGTAGGTCTATAGCTACGTTTAGTCGATTCAACTACGCTGCTGAAGTATACTCGACTGCTTTTGTGCAATCCTTCATTGTCGATTTCAGGTGTATGTGAATTTGCCAGGGAAATAATACTGCTAGTTCTTTTTTATCTATTATCGATGGAGAAATCTGTCGTCCTCCACGAAAAGATAAACAACACGTAGGCATTTCAGAACCTGAGTAAACACTTTGCTGCACGCTATAAAACCATTTTCTTCCACGATCTCCGGAAATCTGAATTAGGAATCAATGTATCACGTGCCATGATCAAGGGACTCGAGCGAGACAAAAGTGACTGTCTTGCAGGCGTCAGTCCGAGAGATTTATCTACAACGTAATTGGCAGATTTCCCGGAACTCATAGCGGCAATTGGATTACTTAGTTCTGAAATGCCATCACTATGACGAGTAACCATAGTTTCTGATTTAGACATTTTTCTATCTCCCGTTTTGAACTCCAAAGGATACGATGAAATTTGTGTTTGTCGATATGCAGATGACCTATTCACAGGCCATTTTCGCGTCAGCCTGCTAGCAACGAAGGAACTGGATGGTTTACGATACTGGCTAGAAGATTTATCTCCCGACATCATCACTGCCGACCGAAACATATCGGCGTCTGCCCTGTATGACGCGGACCTTGCGCTTACTATAGGAGGAGATTGGCTAGTACTGTCCGTTGAAGTTATTTTACTGACAGGAAGCTTTCGGTGATTTGCCGTTGATGGGAGCCTAGATCCACGATGTCCCAGTACGGTGTAGTCTCTCTCGCCATTTGGAAGCTGCCCAACAGGGCGACGTGTAAAGCAGTCGATTTTATTATTAGTCCGAAGTACAAATAACGGACTACAGCCATCAGCAACAACTGTACATTCTGGGGGACCGCTTAGACTCCAACCGTTCACACCAACTCTGACGAATAAAGATAGGTTCACTGTTAGATTTCATAATTAATTGTATCTACAGTTCACCGTTATATTTCATAGCTCATTGTACCTACAGTTCACTGTTATATTTCATAACTCATGGTATCCACAGTTCACTGTTATATTTCATAACTCATGGTATCCACAGTTCACTGTTATATTTCATAACTCATGGTATCCACAGTTCACTGTTATATTTCATAGCTCATTGTACCTACAGTTCACCGTTATATTTCATAGCTAATTATATCTACAGTTCACCGTTATATTTCATAGCTAATTGTACCTACAGTTCACCGTTATATTTCATAATTAATTGTATCTACAGTTCACCGTTATATTTCATAGCTAATTGTACCTACAGTTCACCGTTATATTTCATAGCTCATGGTATCCACAGTTCAACGTTATATTTCATAGCTCATTGTACCTACAGTTCACCGTTATATTTCATAATTAATTGTATCTACAGTTCACTGTTATATTTCATAGCTAATTGTACCTACAGTTCACCGTTATATTTCATAGCTCATGGTATCCACAGTTCACCGTTATATTTCATAGCTCATTGTACCTACAGTTCACCGTTATATTTCATAACTCATGGTATCCACAGTTCACCGTTATATTTCATAGCTCATTGTACCTACAGTTCACTGTTATATTTCATAACTCATGGTATCCACAGTTCATCGTTATATTTCATAGCTCATTGTACCTACAGTTCATTGTTATATTTCATAGCTAATTGTACTTACAGTTCACCGTTATATTTCATAGCTCATTGTACCTACAGTTCACTGTTATATTTCATAGCTAATTGTACCTACAGTTCACCGTTATATTTCATAGCTCATTGTACCTACAGTTCACTGTTATATTTCATAGCTACTTGTACTTACAGTTCACCGTTATATTTCATAGCTAATTGTACCTACAGTTCACCGTTATATTTCATAGCTCATTGTACCTACAGTTCACTGTTATATTTCATAGCTAATTGTACCTACAGTTCACCGTTATATTTCATAGCTCATTGTACCTACAGTTCACTGTTATATTTCACAATTAATTGTATCTACAATTCACTGTTATATTTCATAGCTCATTGTACCTACAGTTCATTGTTATATTTCATAATTAATTGTATCTACAGTTCACTGTTATATTTCATAGCTCATTGTACCTACAGTTCACTGTTATATTTCACAATTAATTGTATCTACAATTCACTGTTATATTTCATAGCTCATTGTACCTACAGTTCATTGTTATATTTCATAGCTCATTGTTTTTACTGCTGATAAGCATATATAGTTCACTGTCATAGCTTTCCGTTCTGGTAAACATGTATTTGTAGACATTTCATTTTTTCTGAATACTCTTACATAGTAAACAGCTGTCTGTCATTGTTATTGTTTACAGCTTGTTGAACTTGTGTGAACCTTTATGCATTTTTTTCACACTTCACTGTTAGGACATTGCTAGTAAATACATGGTATGGACATTTTTTATCAAGTAGCTTTATGTTATCGTAAAGAACACAATGCTATACTACAAACTCACCCCTGACAGTTTAATCCTTCAGTCGTACACTCGCAGTGGTAACAATCCAACGTGTCAAAGGTCGACCCTGGCAAAATCTTCAATGTGGCGGTGACACCTTCTGACGTCATAAAGTACTCACAATAACGCCGAACAGTTCCATACGCTGAGGAAAACGCAAGAAAAAAAATGAAATGGAGTAAACGTACGGGATAATACATATCTAAAAAAATTAAGATATTAGAAAATGGCGAAAATGTTGTATTTCACTATTGATGTAGGTAATTATTGACATACCTGATGTAGGTAATTATTGACATACCTGATGTAGGTATTTATTTTCATACCTGATGAAGGTAATTATTTACATACCTGATGTAGGTTATTATTGACATACCTGATGTAGGTATTTATTGACTTACCTCATGTAGGTAATTATTTACATACCTGATGTAGGTAATTATTGACATACCTGATATAGGTAATTATTGACTTACCTGACATAGCTGTTTATTGACATACCCGATGTAGGTAATTATTGACATACCTGATGTAGGTAATTATTTACATATCTGAAGTAGGTAATAACTGACATACCTGAAGTAGGTAATTATTGACTTACCTGATGTAGGTAATTATTTACATACCTGAAGTAGGTAGTTATTGACTTACCTGATGTAGGTAATTATTGACATACCTGATGTAGGTAATTATGGACATACCTGAAGTAGCTATTTATTGACATACATGATGCAGGTAATTATGGACATACCTGAAGTAGCTATTTATTTACATACCTGATGTAGCTATTTATTGACATACCTGATGTTGCTATTTATTGACATACCTGATGTAGGTAATTATTGACATACCTGATGTAGGTAATTATTGACTTACCTGATGTAGGTAATAATTGACATACCTGATATAGCTGTTTATTGACATACCCGATGTAGGTAATTATTGACATACCTGATGTAGGTAATAATTGACATACCTGATATAGCTGTTTATTGACATACCCGATGTAGGTAATTATTGACATACCTGATGTAGGTAATTATTGACAAACCTGAAGTAGGTCATTATTGACATACCTGATGTAGGTAATAATTGACATACCTGAAGTAGGTGATTATTGACATACCTGATGTAGGTAATTATTGACTTACCTGATATATCTGCTTATTGACATACCTGATGTAGGTAATTATGGACATACCTGTTGTAGGTAATAATTGACATACCTGATATAGCTGTTTATTGACATACCTGATGTAGGTAATTATTGACTTACCTGATGTAGGTAATTATTGACTTACCTGATGTACGTAATTATTTACATACCTGATGTAGGAAATTATGGACATACCTGATGTAGGTAGTAATTGACATACCTGATATAGCTGTTTATTGACATACCTGAAGTAGGTAATTATTTACGTACCTGATGTAGGTAATTATTGACTTACCTGATGTAGGTAATTATTGACTTACCTGATGTAGGTAATAACTGACATACCTGATGTAGCTCTTTATTGACATACCTGATGTAGGTAATTATTGACATACCTGATGTGGGTAATTATTGACTTACCTGATGTAGGTAACAATTGAAATACCTGATATAGCTGTTTATTGACATACCTGATGTAGGTAATTATTTACATACCTGATTTAGGTAATTATTGACATACCTGATGTAAGTAATTATGGACCTACCTGATGTAGGTAATTATTTACATACCTGATGTAGGTAATTATTGACATACCTGATGTAGGTAATAATTGACATACCTGAAGTAGGTAATTATTGACATACCTGATATAGCTGTTTATTGACATACCTGATGTAGGTAATTATTGACTTACCTGATGTAGGTAATTATTGACATACCTGAAGTAGGTAATTATTGACATACCTGATGTAGGTAATAATTGACATACCTCAAGTAGGTAATTATTGACATACCTGATGTAGGTTATTATTGACTTACCTGATGTAGGTATTTATTGACATACCGGATGTAGGTAATTATTGAAATACCTGATGTAGGTAATTATTTACATACCTGATGTAGGTAATTATTGACTTACCTGATGTAGGTAATAATTGACATACCTGACATAGCTGTTTATTGACATACCCGATGTAGGTAATTATTGACATACCTGATGTAGGTAATTATTTACATATCTGAAGTAGGTAATAACTGACATACCTGAAGTAGGTAATTATTGACTTACCTGATGTAGGTAATTATTTACATACCTGAAGTAGGTAGTTATTGACTTACCTGATGTAGGTAATTATTGACATCCCTGATGTAGGTAATTATGGACATACCTGAAGTAGCTATTTATTGACATACATGATGCAGGTAATTATAGACATACCTGAAGTAGCTATTTATTTACATACCTGATGTAGCTATTTATTGACATACCTGATGTTGCTATTTATTGACACACCTGATGTAGGTAATTATTGACATACCTGATGTAGGTAATTATTGACTTACCTGATATAGGTAATAATATTGACATACCCGATGTAGGTAATTATTGACATACCTGATGTAGGTAATTATTGACAAACCTGAAGTAGGTCATTATTGACATACCTGATGTAGGTAATAATTGACATACCTGAAGTAGGTGATTATTGACATACCTGATGTAGGTAATTATTGACTTACCTGATGTAGGTAATAATTGACATACCTGACATAGCTGTTTATTGACATACCCGATGTAGGTAATTATTGACATACCTGATGTAGGTAATTATTGACTTACCTGATGTAGGTAATAATTGACATACCTGACATAGCTGTTTATTGACATACCCGATGTAGGTAATTATTGACATACCTGATGTAGGTAATTATTGACATACCTGAAGTAGGTCATTATTGACATACCTGATGTAGGTAATTATTTACATACCTGATGTAGGTTATTATTGACATACCTGATGTAGGTATTTATTGACTTACCTCATGTAGGTAATTATTTACATACCTGATGTAGGTAATTATTGACATACCTGATATAGGTAATTATTGACTTACCTGATGTAGGTAATAATTGACATACCTGAGGTAGCTCTTTATTGACATACCTTAAGTAGGTAATTATTGACATACCTGATGTAGGTAATTATTGACATACCTGATGTAGTTAATTATTGAATTACCTGATGTAGGTAATAATTGACATACCTGATGTAGCTCTTTATTGACATAACTGATGTAGGTAATTATTGACATACCTGATGTGGGTAATTATTGACTTACCTGATGTAGGTAACAATTGAAATACCTGATATAGCTGTTTATTGACATACCTGATGTAGGTAATTATTTACATACCTGATTTAGGTAATTATTGACATACCTGATGTAAGTAATTATGGACCTACCTGATGTAGGTAATTATTTACATACCTGATGTAGGTAATTATTGACATACCTGATGTAGGTAATAATTGACATACCTGAAGTAGGTAATTATTGACATACCTGATATAGCTGTTTATTGACATACCTGATGTAGGTAATTATTGACTTACCTGATGTAGGTAATTATTGACATACCTGAAGTAGGTAATTATTGACATACCTGATGTAGGTAATTATTGACATACCTGAAGTAGGTTATTATTGACATACCTGATGTAGGTAATTATTGACATACCTGATGTAAGTAACTATGGACATACCTGGTACATAGCTGTTTATTGACATACCCGATGTAGGTAATTATTGACATACCTGATGTAGGTAATTATTTACATATCTGAAGTAGGTAATAACTGACATACCTGAAGTAGGTAATTATTGACTTACCTGATGTAGGTAATTATTTACATACCTGAAGTAGGTAGTTATTGACTTACCTGATGTAGGTAATTATTGACATACCTGATGTAGGTAATTATGGACATACCTGAAGTAGCTATTTATTGACATACATGATGCAGGTAATTATGGACATACCTGAAGTAGCTATTTATTTACATACCTGATGTAGCTATTTATTGACATACCTGATGTTGCTATTTATTGACACACCTGATGTAGGTAATTATTGACATACCTGATGTAGGTAATTATTGACTTACCTGATGTAGGTAATAATTGACATACCTGATATAGCTGTTTATTGACATACCCGATGTAGGTAATAATTGACATACCTGAAGTAGGTGATTATTGACATACCTGATGTAGGTAATTATTGACTTACCTGATGTAGGTAATAATTGACATACCTGACATAGCTGTTTATTGACATACCCGATGTAGGTAATTATTGACATACCTGATGTAGGTAATTATTGACTTACCTGATGTAGGTAATAATTGACATACCTGACATAGCTGTTTATTGACATACCCGATGTAGGTAATTATTGACATACCTGATGTAGGTAATTATTGACATACCTGAAGTAGGTCATTATTGACATACCTGATGTAGGTAATTATTTACATACCTGATGTAGGTTATTATTGACATACCTGATGTAGGTATTTATTGACTTACCTCATGTAGGTAATTATTTACATACCTGATGTAGGTAATTATTGACATACCTGATATAGGTAATTATTGACTTACCTGATGTAGGTAATTATTGACTTACCTGATGTAGGTAATAATTGACATACTTGATGTAGCTCTTTATTGACATACCTGATGTAGGTAATTATTGACATACCTGATGTAGGTAATTATTGACTTACCTGATGTAGGTAATAATTGACATACCTGAGGTAGCTCTTTATTGACATACCTTAAGTAGGTAATTATTGACATACCTGATGTAGGTAATTATTGACATACCTGATGTAGTTAATTATTGAATTACCTGATGTAGGTAATAATTGACATACCTGATGTAGCTCTTTATTGACATAACTGATGTAGGTAATTATTGACTTACCTGATGTAGGTAATAATTGACATACCTGACATAGCTGTTTATTGACATACCCGATGTAGGTAATTATTGACATACCTGATGTAGGTAATTATTGACATACCTGAAGTAGGTCATTATTGACATACCTGATGTAGGTAATAATTGACATACCTGAAGTAGGTGATTATTGACATACCTGATGTAGGTAATTATTGACTTACCTGATGTAGGTAATAATTGACATACCTGACATAGCTGTTTATTGACATACCCGATGTAGGTAATTATTGACATACCTGATGTCGGTAATTATTGAAATACCTGAGGTAGGTAATGATTTACATACCTGATGTAGGTAATTATTGACTTACCTGATATGGGTAATTATGGACATACATGATGTAGGTAATTATTGATTTACCTGAGGTAGGTTATTTATTTTTGCATTTCGATGATCAAAAATAATTAACAACTTACCTGATTGTTTTACTTTAAGTGGCCCTTTCCAATCAACAGCGAAAACTCCGTTGATATTCAGAAATATAGAAACGGGAATGATCACAAATACTATCATTTCTTCGTAACAGTGAATTGACCGCAAGCCTAAGTTACACTAAGAGATACTGATGGGTTGCCGGGCGGCGTCTGTATTTATAGTCACTGTGTCATGTTTTCGGTATAGATATGCATTTATCACAGTCGTATTTTCCACCTATGCATGGGATGATGAAGGAGACTGGAGTCAATAGCGTTGTTTACTTTCATTGTAGCTAAAATACACAACGACTATATCCCGGGGCGTTTCTGTTTACGTCCGAACCTTTACTACGCAGGACCAAATACGGGGAGGAGCCGACTATCTACCAGTCAAGGTCAAAACTCAAGTTCAAAGAATCACGAAAATGGTTTCGGTATCACGTTTTTTGGGTAGGTAAGAGAGAGGTTCTAATTCACAGTCACACTAGAGTACTGTTGCGTGGTGTCGGGTAGCTTTAGTCGTAATCACATAATATTGTTTTCTGAATGTCAAGGCGGGACAATAATATGATGCAAGCAAAACCACATCTAGTAACACCAAATTTTGTTTGTAACCCAGAGGGCTTGTAAACACGACATGGCGTTCTCTGTGGGAGGTGCAAGGTTCCGAGAGATAGTCGCAATAGAAAAATATGCAGGTGAGGTGTTACAGAGGGTGATTACTGACAAGGGAAAAAGACCTCTCGTGAACCTAAGGACGTCGATTCAACGTAATAAATAGCTTTGTCACTTGATGGATCGCGCGCCGCATGTCAGTGGGAGTGTAGACAAATACCAACTGGTACAGCTGGAAAATCTGCAAAAGTGTAACCAGTGATTACTGCACCCATATAATCACTATCTGAACCGGTGTACAGGTTGATTACTGCACCAAGATAAATATTATCTGAACCGGTGTATAGGTTGATTACTGTACCAAGATAAATATTATCTCAACCGGTGGACAGGTTGATTACTGCACCAAGATAAATATTATCTCAACCGGTGTATAGGTTGATTACTGCACCCAGATAAATATTATCTGAACCGGTGTACAGGTTTATTACTGCACCAAGATAAATATTATCTCAACCGGTGTATATTATTTCAACCCGGGTGTACAGGTTGATTACTGCACCCAGATAAATATTATCTCAACCGGTGTACAGGTTGATTACTGCACCCAGATAAATAATATCTGAACCGGTGTACAGGTTTATTACTGCACCAAGATAAATATTATCTGAACCGGTGTACAGGTTGATGACTGCACCAAGATAAATATTGTAACGTACCGGGGTCCATACCCTAGTCACTTTTAAGGATCCCTGTGTTATGAGCATGACTTTATAGTTCTATACTACATATGCAAATATATACACATAGGAGTTACTGCCTTGTAACCAACATTCCTAATGTTTATTTTGTAGCATGTACAAAACCAACGCTACATGACATTCTTAAACTACAACCAAAGCTATCTGCTTAATAATTAATATAACAACTAATTATATACAAACACTATTGTACCAACCAGGCACAGTCCCACTCGACCACTACGTCGTAGTTCGCCCTAACTGTAGCCACTATAGTAGCCCTATGACTATGAGCTGTCGCTATACTTAGTCGCGCCAAGCACGACAACCTTATAACCCCTAACAGCCTACACGTGCTAGTGTTACAGCGACACTTTAATGACCACGATTACCCCTAGTTCTGGGCGACTACCTATACTCAATGTATATATACGGGTATGACTAGCATAGTCGCGATTACCTAGTCACGACTACGCTGCACAAGCCGCGACTACACAACACTATAGTCACGACTACTCAGAACGCTACTACGCGCACACAGCACTAGCCACGATTATATACAGCCCTAGCCGCGACCACACCGCTCGGTTGTCTAATAGCTATTGCCAACACCTGAGTAGCTCACTACCGCACACTGTCTTTTATTAATTATGTCTAAAACAGCAGTGTTTGGGTCAAGGGAACACTTATTCAGTGACTTCTATCTTCCCAAACTACAGCCGGTCACATACACACTACTTATGGTACCATTGTATTGTTGATGCTGATACACCGAGCTCCATAACAGATCTCTGCTACTTGCTGGTTTTCGAGTATTTATACCCTATGGCTATACTAACGCCACCTAGCGGTGAGAAATGATATAATACGTTTTACTTGTGCCCCTATAAACGTTACTTCTGTCAAGCGCGTGAAGTACAGAGATAACCAAAATGATTAACGCCAGTCGATCTGTTTACATTTTCTAACCTGAATGATATGCTACATTAATGGAGGTAGGATTACGATATAGACATTCATCACAATATTATCTCAACCGGTGTATAGGTTGATTACTGCACCCAGATAAATAATATCTCAACCGGTGTACAGGTTGATTACTGCACCCAGATAAATATTATCTCAACCGGTGTACAGGTTGATTACTGCACCCAGATAAATATTATCTGAACCGGTGTATAGGTTGATTACTGCACCCAGATAAATATTATCTCAACCGGTGTATAGGTTGATTACTACACCCAGATAAATTACATGTGTATTGGTATAACGTGTTAGCCAACCATACTGTCCCTAATCGGCTGGTTTATGGTTACAAGTATTTGTGTAACGTGTTAGCCAACCATACTGTCCCTAATCGGCTGGTTTAGGGTTACATGTATTGGTATAACGTGTTAGCCAACCATACTGTCCCTAATCGGCTGGTTTAGGGTTACAAGTATTTGTATAACGTGTTAGCCAACCATACTGTCCCTAATCGGCTGGTTTAGGGTTACATGTATTGGTATAACGTGTTAGCCAACCATTTCTATTGGTATAACGTGTTAGCCAACCATACTGTCCCTAATCGGCTGGTTTAGGGTTACATGTATTGGTATAACGTGTTAGCCAACCATACTGTCCCTAATCGGCTGGTTTAGGGTTACATGTATTGGTATAACGTGTTAGCCAACCATACTGTCCCTATTCGGCTGGTTTAGGGTAACAAGTATTTGTATAACGTGTTAGCCAACCATACTGTCCCTAATCGGCTGGTTTAGGGTTACATGTATTGGTATAACGTGTTAGCCAACCATACTGTCCCTAATCGGCTGGTTTAGGGTTACAAGTATTGGTATAACGTGTTAGCCAACCATACTGTCCCTAATCGGCTGGTTTAGGGTTACATGTATTGGTATAACGTGTTAGCCAACCATACTGTCCCTAATCGGCTGGTTTAGGGTTACATGTATTGGTATAACGTGTTAGCCAACCATACTGTCCCTAATCGGCTGGTTTAGGGTTACATGTATTGGTATAACGTGTTAGCCAACCATACTGTCCCTAATCGGCTGGTTTAGGGTTACATGTATTGGTATAACGTGTTAGCCAACCATACTGTCCCTAATCGGCTGGTTTAGGGTTACATGTATTGGTATAACGTGTTAGCCAACCATACTGTCCCTAATCGGCTGGTTTAGGGTTACATGTATTGGTTTAGGGTTACATGTATTGGTACGTGTTAGCCAACCATGCTGTCCCTCATCGGCTGGTTTAGGGTTACAAGTATTTGTATAACGTGTTAGCCAACCATACTGTCCCTAATCGGCTGGTTTAGGGTTACATGTATTGGTATAACGTGTTAGCCAACCATACTGTCCCTAATCGGCTGGTTTAGGGTTACATGTATTGGTATAACGTGTTAGCCAACCATACTGTCCCTAATCGGCTGGTTTAGGGTTACATGTATTGGTATAACGTGTTAGCCAACCATACTGTCCCTAATCGGCTGGTTTAGGGTTACATGTATTGGTATAACGTGTTAGCCAACCATACTGTCCCTAATCGGCTGGTTTAGGGTTACATGTATTGGTATAACGTGTTAGCCAACCATACTGTCCCTAATCGGCTGGTTTAGGGTTACATGTATTGGTATAACGTGTTAGCCAACCATACTGTCCCTAATCGGCTGGTTTAGGGTTACATGTATTGGTATAACGTGTTAGCCAACCATACTGTCCCTAATCGGCTGGTTTAGGGTTACATGTATTGGTATAACGTGTTAGACAACCACACTGTCCCTCATCGGCTTTAGGGTCATGGCTGGTTTAGGGTTACATGTATTGGTGTAACGTGTTAGTCAACCATACTGTCCCTAATCGGCTGGTTTAGGGTTACAAGTATTTGTATAACGTGTTAGCCAACCATACTGTCCCTAATCGGCTGGTTTAGGGTTACATGTATTGGTATAACGTGTTAGCCAACCATACTGTCCCTAATCGGCTGGTTTAGGGTTACATGTATTGGTATAACGTGTTAGCCAACCATACTGTCCCTAATCGGCTGGTTTAGGGTTACATGTATTGGTATAACGTGTTAGCCAACCATACTGTCCCTTATCGGCTGGTTTAGGGTTACAAGTATTGGTATAACGTGTTAGCCAACCATACTGTCCCTAATCGGCTGGTTTAGGGTTACATGTATTGGTATAACGTGTTAGCCAACCATACCCCTAATCGGCTGGTTTAGGGTTACATGTATTGGTATAACGTGTTAGCCAACCATACTGTCCCTAATCGGCTGGTTTAGGGTTACATGTATTGGTATAACGTGTTAGTCAACCACACTGACCCTCATCGGCTTGTTTAGAGTAACATAGATTGGTATCACGTGTTAGTCAACCACACTAACCCTCATCGGCTGGTTTGAGGTTACATGTATTGGTAGCACGTGGTAGTCAACCACACTAACCCTGATATGCTGGTTTAGGGTTACATGTGTTTGTAACACGTGGTAGTCAACAACACTTGCCCTCATCGGTTGGTGTAGGGTTACAAGTATTTGTATAACGTGTTAGCCAACCATACTGTCCCTAATCGGTTGGTTTAGGTTTACATGTATTGGAAACACGTTTTAGTCAACAACACTTACCCTCATCGCTTGGTTTAGGGTAACAAGTATTGGTATAACGTGTTAGCCAACCATACTGTCCCTAATCGGCTGGTTTAGGGTTACATGTATTTGTATAACGTGTTAGCCAACC